AAGTAGAAAATCCCAGTGTTGGACTTGGTCTCCCAATGACTCCGCGGTTCTCGCTATTTCTCACTCGAAACGATCTCACACATTTACTCTCAAAATTTCACCCAACAATTATTCACCAATTCAATCTGCTATTAAATTTAATGTACACACAATGTCTGCTCGATGGAATTGAGTGAAGATTGAGTTATTACGATCAAATTTAATTAAAAAAACCGTAAGGATTCGTATTCGAACAATTTTTGTCATTTTAATAATTGTTTTTTCAAGTTGATACCAAATGTTAAACATTCGCGAAAAGTTTGGCTTTTATTCGAATTTTATTCAGAAAAAAACAATAGGTTTTTATTTTTCTGAACAACTTATTGTTGCAAAATTGTTTCTGTAGAAATTCCTAGGCCTAAATTTTCGTTTTTTGGTTCAATTTCCAAATGAGAGAATTAAAGAATTCAAGGGAACACATACTTAAAATTTATGTCAAGAAATTTCTATAAAAAGTATTGCAATAAAAGAAATTAAATACATTAATTATCAATTATTACATTCAAATTAGGGAATTTTTCATCAGAATTAGTGAAAAATTTACAATAGTCAAGCGTTGTTTTTATAGAAATTTTCTCTTGTATTGTTTTGCAAACTGTATTTGATTTAAAGAAAATTAATGTGGATTTTTCTTTAAAACTTATTCAGTTCCATTTTTTAAGTGAAAATTCTTGGCCTTGAATCCTCACACGAGCTTTATTTCTTACAGAAAAAAAGGAATCTTGGAGGAGAGAGTTCCATTGAAGATCAAAATCTCGTTTTTTTCTATTTAATATCCATAAAAAAAGCAGGAGAAAAAAAATGAACAGAACTTCCGATAGAATTCCAATAGAAATTTGATACAATTCCCCAGCGAAAGTGTTACCCTTTTCTGTCGATTTTTCCATGCGTGATCATAATCACAAACAGCTTCATTCAACACTCATTCAAAACTGAAAGTCTTTCAAGTCATTCAAAAATTCAATGTGTGGTGATTAATTTCGAAATTGTGACCATTTCTCTCCCTTTCCATTTTACCACGCACCATTAAGGAAAAGACTGAGATCCTTATCTTTTTGACTTTTTCTCTTTCACTTTTCAATTCCAGTGAGGCAAAAAAGTTTTCATTTCCCTTGTTCATCAGATACCAATGTTTCATACTTTCTTCATTAAGGAATAATCCATCAATTTCTCTTTTTTTAAAGAATTCAGTCGTTTAAAAACAATGACTATTGGATTAGAAATCAATTAGACTATTATCTGCATAATTATTCAAACGTCTATTGCTGAGAAGATTAATTACTCGGTATCAGATACATAAACGGGAGAAAGATCTGTTGAGAATCATCCTTGAATTTTTGTAAAATTTCGCAATTTTTTAAGAATTTTTCGTAAAACTTTAGTGGATAATGCAATAACTTCAGTACAAATTGAAATATTGCGCATAAAGGAAAAAGTTGAGGCAGAATTAATGAAAAATTCAAGTAATCGTCAAGTGAAATCCCATTTTGGACCTTTTTTAAAAACAAAAATACATTTTTGATCTCAGAAAATAGCATATATATTCGATTAATTAATAACATTGAATAAATACATCTCCACAACAATAATAAATGAGAAAATCTTTACAATATCAGTCCATAATACAATGTTTCAAAAAAAATTCATTTTTAATGCCGAAATTTCATGGAGTTTCCGAATTCTCTGGAAATTCAATGAAAATCCAAATCTTTGAGAAACAGAAAGTCAAGAATTCCACAATTTAGTTCAATTTTCAATGAAAACATGAATATTTAGTACTAAATTATCCTGAATTTCCTACTAATTTGAGATTCAAGAATATATTTAACTGAATTTTTCCACCCAATCGAGATTTTTATCGAATAATTGAACTAAAATTTACAGTTTTCGTAGATTTTTCCATAAATTGTGGACGTCCACATAAAAAGGGACCACTTTGTCGATTCCAGTTTCCGAGATATTCACGTTTTTGTCAGCAACTCCCATTTGCAGGAATGTTAAATTGTTTTTTCCATTTTCTCCAACGACGTCATTGTTGACCCCATGTCATTGTTGATCATGTTGGGCTCAAAATGTGCGGAATGTTATCAATATTATCAGAGTATATTTACATAACATCATATCGACAAAGTGGTCCCTTTTCATGCGGACGTCCACAAATTACGAATTTTTAATGACGGAATTCTCGAAAAATCCAGTGGAATTGTCAATTCATGAAAATTTCCAAGAAGTGTACCAAAAATTGAATCCAAAAACAATTAACTTCGGGATGAAGCAGTACGATACTGAGTGGAAAATGAATATTTCTCCCCGAATTGAGACGACAGGGAATGTCTGAAATAAGTAGATGAGGCTATTCCTTCCTTTCAGTTCATTTTGATTGAGAGCAAGCGACGGTTATATTTCAAAAATGTCTCGAGGTTTTCCTCCGCATGAATTCTGCATTCATTCAATACAAAAGTCCCTGATTTATGTTTCATTATTTTTACTTACAATATCTATGCGCGCGCTCCCGCGCGCGCTGACGTACTCATTTGTTCAAATGAAGAAATGGAATTCATTGAATTTCATTTTCTCATGAATACCTTATAAATATTGATAATGCATCAAAGAGAATTCGACTAATGATTGATGTGAATAGCGAAGTAGAGTAAAAGAATCTATAAAGAATTTTTCATTTTCAATTAATTATCTTCAATTTTTTTAAATAATCGGTCTCCATAAAAGGACAGAATTTATTAATTTCACCGATGATATATATACATGTGAAATATATATATTATATATATATATATGACGTGAAAACAAAATTTACCACTGAAGAATTTGAAATTGTCACTGAAGAATTTGAAAATGCCGCGTGTTTTTTTTATGAATAACTTCGTAGCACATATTGACCAATCAGAATTAAGGATTAGCGGTCAGGCAGTTTCGAGATATTTCGATATAAAACAACTTCACGTTTCTTTCATCTTTAGTAAATAGGATTCTCCTAGGCCTGAAAAAAAATTTTTTTTTGATACATTTATCGGCGATGGTTATCATGTGCATTCACCCAATACTTTAATTATTGCATAGGACTCGAGGGCCACAATAGACACTAGATTTTTTTTCAATTCTTAACACCTGATTCAATTCTTGTTGAATTTTTTTTTTACAAATACATTTACTTTCCGTTTGTAATGACCCCAGTCTGAGCTCAATTGCTCAATTTATTCTCGGCTTATGAATATTTTAAAGAATGTCTGAGGTGTCCATTTTTCCCCACCTTCCCCCATACTTTTCGTAAGGGGAAACTGTAAGATTATAATCAAATTCATTATAGTATGTTTTGAATAATAAAATTTAATCCTGTCATTGCTCTTATGCGTTGGCTTCACGCATGAAAAAATTCAATCGAAAACCTAGCGAATTCGCTAGAAAATTCATTAGCATTCTATAGGAATTCTATGGGGTTTCTATAGGATTTTTACTGGAATTCTATTGAAAAATTAGATTTGTTTTTTGCGCTGATTCTATTGGACATTTCATAAGAAAAAGTCAATAGATTTCGAATTTCTGTTTAAATTTTTCTCTTGAGATTTATTCTATAGGAATGCGTGGGCATCAATTATCTAAGTTTTTCGGATTCTGTAATGCGAAACAAAACAAAATCCAGCGAAAAAAGTTTCGAAAAATTGTCCATAATAATTAAAATAGAAAAAATCTCAACAGAAAAATTGAAAAATCGAAATCTATTGACAACTGAATCAGCACAAAAACCAAATAGAATTTTTCAATATAATTCCAAGAGAAAACCTAGCGAATTCGCTAGAAAAATCTATTAACATTCTATAGGAATTCTATGGGGTTTCTATAGGATTTTTACTGGAATTCTATTGAAAGATTAGATTTGTTTTTGGCGCTGATTCTATTGGACATTTCATAAGAAAAAGTCAATAGATTTCGAATTTCTGTCTGAAGTTTTCTCTTGAGATTTATTCTATAGGAATGCGTGGGCATCAATTATCTAAGTTTTTCGGATTCTGTAATGCGAAACAAAACAAAATCCAGTGAAAAAAGTTTCGAAAAATTGTCCCCAATAATTAAAATAGAAAAAATCTCAACAGAAAAATTGAAAAATCGAAATCTATTGACAACTGAATCAGCACAAAAACCAAATAGAATTTTTCAATATAATTCCAATAGAAAACCTAGCGAATTCCGTAGAAACTTCTATTGGAATTCTATAGGAATTCTATGGGGTTTCGATAGGATTTCTATTGAATTTTTTCACACGTATTTTTATGAAAATGAAATGAAAATGAAAATGACAACGAAATGTCCACTCAATCATGAAGTGTTAATGCTCAATTCATGATCTTGTGCCAAACGAATTGCCCTCAAGAGATCATGTAATCAATGCAGTATTGTATAAATATAATCTTAAAAAAAAAATTCCATAACCAGGGCATGTCGAACCACCGATTGTCTCCCTAACAATTCTCATTTTTACCCTATTATTTGTTATTCGGGGGCCTTTGAAAACCGCCTACGTATCATTCTCACGGTTGTGGATTGATTTCTGTCCCAACATCCGCCTTCGTTCATGTACCATACACCCTGAACCCGTTGTGTTATCCCCTCCCCTAATTTTTCATCACAATAATCGTTTTATGGGACTAGACCAATGCGTGTCGGCGGGCACCGTTTAAAAATATCCTTCATTTATACGCGTTATTCTTCGATTTGGCAATTGGCTGTGTTCATTAACTCTCGGCGATCTCAATTGAGCTCCTTCGAGTGATCTCTCGGTTTGGGTTTACAGCGAGTCTAGGTAGTCAAGGGGCCCCCTACGCCGTCATCCAGGTGGCTGTCTCCCATTCTCCCCCACTCTCACCGGTTTCAAACTGTCCGGTGTAGGTTATAAAGCAACGTGATGCCAACTATCTCGCTGCACTCTACTCAGTGAAATCGAAAGAGATACTGGTGAATTCTTAGCAAGTTTCGTACCACTATTTATGGTTATTGCGCGCAACATGAGGTTTATTATTTTGGTATGTTTATAGTGATATTTTTTTAACGCTCTTACTAACTCGCGTTGTTTTATTCTGTTCCATTTAATTATTTGAATTTTTTTAACTCATTGAATTTTCGTTTGTTTTTTTTTCAATTTCTTAAAACAAATTTTCTTTATGTCGCGCCGTGCAATAAGTCGAGTTTATCGCACGCTGCGCTTCGCGCAGCCTGCTCAAATCTCGACTTCTGCACGACTTGACATAAAATATTATAGAGCACTCGGTAACAAATTTCGTTTTCAACGAATGTGTAGTTTACAGGCCGAGCCGAAGGCGAGGTCTGTACACACATTCGTTGAAAACGAAATTTGTGCCCTTGTACTCTAATGTACTATTAAAAATTGTTTTAAAAAATTGTTCTTTAGATTTTTTGCATTTTTTTGTCAGTTATCAGTGTTTTTCCTTAATGATTGTGAAATTAATTTTTCAAAAACAAGAAAAAAACAGAACGAAAATGGGAAAATATTTAATTTCCGCAGACATAGATTTTTACTGTTAATTGTCCTATAATTACAAACAACATCCATTAAATCCATCAACTGAAGGTGAAAGCACAAACCCCTTGAAAAAATATGGAGCGGTCTTTAATATTCCCATCATATCCGAAATTTCGTCACGCATTTCAAATTTTGTTTGCATTTTTTTGTCAATTATTAGTATTTTTCCTTAACCCCTCATGGACGGGGCCCTTTTGTTACCAAGCATAGTGTGTGCTCAATACGACTCGAATTCGATTATTCCTAATGAATGCAAAATTATGAAGCTAATAATGATGTGAAAATAATTATGTGAAATTAATTTTTCAAAAACAAGAAAAAAGCAAACAACAAAAAGTTGAAAAATATTCAATTTTCTCAAACATAAATTTTTACTGCTGATTGTCCTACAATTACAAACAACATCCATTAAATCCATCAACTGAAGGTGAAAGCACAAACCCCTTGAAAAAATATGGAGCGGTCATTAATATTTCCGTCACATCCGAAATTTCGTCACTCATTTCAAAATAGTCAAAGCGCGCCCGGTCCGAGTGACATTAAAGATGTGGTTCAAAGGAAAGGAAAAAAAAGAAAGTGACGATGAATTTGGTAGCACAATAGAATATGTAACACACGTAATGGTCACTTGGCTAGAAACTTCTGGAAAGTCACATGCGATTGGATTCCACTGGAAAGTTATTAACAAACTCTAAATAATTTTTTACATTCCCGGTATCATGACATTTAGTAATTTTCATAATCTATCAGTGACATCGATCCGAGGTTTTTCGTGCCCCTCGTGTGATCAATGACGGTGAAATCTTGGGCATTAAATGAATTGCGAAAGCGAGCCTAATGGGAACGCATGACAAAGCTTAAGACAGAGGCGTCTTTTATACTTATTCGCAATCGAAAATAATCCGATGAATTTTTCATACGTTCGATCAATTGATTGGCTTTCACCGATTTTCCCCACTGGCATGTACCCAATCATCGATAAAAATACATTCGTAACTGAATATTCACACAAAGTGCAGAAATAATTATTTAAATTACAATTGATTACGTCTTATTCGTGGGATTTTCTTGTTACTCTACTTTCATACCTGGGACAGAGACGAGGAGCACTTAAAACATTTTAAATTATTACATCGTACTGATTTACAACTCGGCAAATTATACGAGAGAGTCATGGCCTCTCTTCTTAAGCAAGTTTACTCGTTAAATATAATCGTAAAACCAAAAACTGTGCCAAACAAAGAGCGTTGAGGTGCTTCAACAAAAACTTAATGTTTTCCATGAATTTTTAAATTATTTGGGTCGAATTGCACTCTTAGGTGCTACATCTATTGGAGTGGATGAATGATTGAATGGAGTTTTGGATATGTTGCCATTTTCTAATGGGGCTTTTGCACGAATTTTTTTATTTCGCGATCTGAAATTTGAATGGAAGACATTTTTGGCATACTTGTTTTTTCTTTGGTGAATAGTGAAGAATTTAGGAGCTGTAGGCTATTGAGCATGTCTATATTGTCAATTCATAGTTGTCTAGAAATTGTGTTACCAGATTTTTTAGTAAACGAAGTCTCCAGTTCCAGTATAATGCATACATGACATGTATGCGTGGAATGACAAATATGTATATCTAATATTTTTCATAGAATTGTTATATAATACGGTAAAATATATTTAAAAAAATTTTTTTTCTATTTCATTGGTTTTATCGGAGTAATTCTCGATTTGAAACCCCTCCTCTAGCCTGCCACCCCTCCTTTCTTTTTCTCTCATTGTTATCTGCGGTATCATGGCCGTCTCGGTAAAATATAATTGTAAAGCCAAAAACTGTGGTGGACAAAGAGCGTTGAGGTGCCTCAACAAAAACTTAATGCTTCCCGTGAATTTTTAAATTATTTGGGTCGAATACACTCTTCGGTGCTAAGAATTTAGAAATTGTAGGCAATCGAGAATATCTATATTGTCAATTCATCGTTGCTTAGAAATTTTGTTACCAGATTTTTTAGTAAACGAACTCTCCGGTTCCAGTCATAATGCCTACATGACATGTATGCAGTATGAATATAAATATGAATGAATTGTCATATAATTTGGTTAAATATAATTGTCAAGCCAAAGGCTGTGTCGAACAAAGAGCGTTGAGGTGCTTCAACAAAAACTTAATGTTTTCCATGAATTTTTAAATTATTTCGGTCGAATTGCACTCTTCGGTGCTACATTTATTGGAGTGGGTGAATGATTAAATGGAGTTTTGGATACAGTGAATTCCCTAGTGGGGCTTTTGCACGAAATTTTTTCATTTCTGGATATGAAAGTTGAACGGAAAATGTTGAACATACATTTTTTTGCTTCGATGAATAGTTGAGATTCCAAGAGTTATAGGCAATTGACAATGTCTATATTGTGTCACAATGCATACAATAGTCCATGACATGTATGTATAGAATGAAAAATACGTATCTAATTTTTTTCATACAATACAGCTAAGTTCAGGAATGGCAATCAATCTTTTGATTCTCCAATATTAAAAGAACTTCCGGCTTACATCGATCAAGGTTTAAATACACTAATCGAAATTAAAAAATAGTGAGATAATTCACAATCTCAATTTCCAATTGATAATGAATTAAATGTTTAAAAATATGGAACTATAAATTTTTTATTAATTAGATGATACTAAATTTCTTATAAGGGATTGCCGATTATCCAAATAATCTCAATCTTTCTAACTCACGTACTGATTAATGAATAACTCGAAATTTGACTTTTTAAATTGATGATTACTTCAATAATTAAAATTTGAGAGTGATATTCACTAATTGACTACTTAATAATTTAACAGTAATTATAATTTACGGATATGGCTATCCCTGGTTGAGGTATATCCCAAGGTTAATCCCTATGGATTTCCGGAAAAAATTCTGAATAACTTAATTTATTGCATTCTCTATTATTGTAACTTATTGAGTTTTACTATTTTCATGTGTTGATGATGCCGGTAACAATAACTGTTTTAATCAAATACGAAACTATTTGTTAATTAATTTATTGAATCAAATAAGTAATGCTTTCACGAAATTTCCATTTTTTCGAGTTGAATATCGCAGAAACTATGTAGTACAAAATTTTACAAAAAATTCAAGGTATTCAGAATTTATCAATGTATCACGGGGGACCTATAACCCCCGTTTGGACTATGCCTAGCGGGTTAGAAGCCCGCATTTCATTATTTATTATCTCCTAAACTGTGTAGTACAGCTAGTTAGCACTTTTTTGAATAGCTGGGGGCTATTATAAACATTATCTACGAAAAACAAGGGGACAGTCGTAAGAAAAACGTGTTTTCTACGGATATAGCTTAAATATAGTCGTGAAAACCAATAACTATGCCAGAGAGCGGTGAGGTGCCTCGACAAAAACTTAATGTTTCCTATGAAATTTTAAATTATTTGGGTCAAATTGCCTTCTTCGGTGCTACATTTATTGGAGTGGATGAATAATTAAATGGAGTTTTGGATATGTTAAATTTCGATTTGGAATTCAAAAGAGGGTTGAAGTGCTATGCTTCAACGAAGACGTAATAGTTTCCATGATTTTTTTTAAATTATGTGGATCGAATTACACTCGTCGATGCTAAATTTATTGGAGTGGATGAATATTCAAATGGTGTTTTTAATATGTTGAATATCCATATAGTGATTTTGCACGAAATTTCTTACTTTGAGTATGTGAAATTTGAATGGAATTAATAGACACGTATTTTTTTCCCTCGATGAATAATTGAGAATTCAGAAATTATAGGCAATTGGCATATATATTTTGGTGTCATAATGCATACAATTGTCTAATCTAATGTTTTCCCATTCCATTTCGCATTACATCATTTCATTCAATGAAGAAAATTCATTCAACAATCAGTAGCACCGAAATTACATTCTGAAATATTTTAGTATTTTTTTTTTACATTTCTAGTCATAAAGCAGTAATGAAAAAATAATGACTAGGTTTAAACACCGTCAATAATTTTCAATTACAAAGTTCTCAATTTTCGTATACTTGAGGAGAAAAAAAAAGAATTCATTGTTTTTTTACGACAAAAAATCTCAAATTATTGATTTCATTAGACGTTGATTTAAAATGACGAAATGTGAATATATTTCATCAATCCCAACAATCCGAAATATTCTCCGAATTCTTGAAAAGGTTTCGCAATTCCCACTAGATAATTTTGTATTGAAACTGATTAATCGAAAGTGATGATGAATTTTTTTTTAAGAAGAATGATTTCCTCTAAATATGAAGGTTAAATTCTCACGCTCAAAACATACTTGTGAGGGTCAAATTTAAATTTTACGTGAAAACATTGAAAAAAACTTGGATTCGAATGTTAGTGCTGATCCGTCCGCATCAGCTATATCCATCGAACATCGTACGCGCCGGCAATCGCTCCCCATTCGAAAAAAAAACCCAATGAATCTCATTACG